CGATTGGTAGTAATGAACTGATAGAAATCGACGCTGAAAATATGATTAGAAAGATAAATGGAGTTGATCAAATGGCCTTGCTGCAAACGATTTTAGGGATCTGATATAGTTGACAAAATTACATAAAAATGTTAAAATGTAATAAGTTGTAGGTATATGGCTGCTATGGATTCTAAAGCTCATGTAAATTCTGAAGATCAGTTGACTAGTTTACTCACTAGTGTAGCTCAATCTCAAAACAAATCCGTTTTAAAACTATTAGCTGAGTTAATGGAAGAAGAAATTGAAGATATGGAATTATCTAAGATTGCTGACGAACGCTACAAAGAAAAGAGGATTAAACATCAAGATGCCTTCTGGGTATAATATAGAATATTCAGAATCTGTCATAGAAAGAGACATTCCAGAACTTCCAGTCAAAGTGAAGTCAATGGTCAAAAAGGCGATACTGGAGCGTTTAACAGTTGATCCAATTGGACTTGGAAAGCCATTAAAGCACAACTTAAGTGGGCAACGTAGTCTACGCGTAAGTACCTATCGTATACTTTATTACATAGATGTACCAGAACATACAGTAGTTATTACCTCCATAGAACACAGAAAAGATTCGTATCAAAGCTAATCCTATTTATAGCACCATACAAAGAAATTAGTTATGTAAAAGCCGATATAGACTTTTATTTAATTAATTTTTAAGGAGAAACATGAAAACAGTAAAACTTGATAACCCAATAACAGTGGAAGGAATTGAGGTTTCGGAATTAACTTTTAGACCAGTCAAAGTGAGGGATTGCCTAGCGATGGAACGTACTGGTGGTAGTGATTTTGAAAAAGAAGTTGGATTAATAGCAAACCTTGCATCTGTGACAAAAGAAACAATTTGGGAGTTATATTTTGCAGACTACGTAAAAATACAGGATGAGTTGAAGGTTTTTTTTCCACCTGTTACACAAAGGACTTGAGGTTAAATGTAATAATGCTCAGTTCTGTTGTAGGTGGCGGGATTGAGCATATTCTTGGTATGGAAATGAATGAGTTTGTTTTGTGGGTAAAAGCAGCAGGAGAATTTAAATGTCAACATTATCAGTAAAAATAGGTGCCATACTAGATGGTAGCTTTAATAGCGCAATGGCAGGAAGTAGCGCTCAACTTTCCCGTCTTGGGGGTACAATAAGGCAACTTGATGCATCGATGAAATCGGTATCAAAATTTAAGGAGTTAAGTCGTAACACATTGGTTGCCAAGAGATCCTGGAAAGGCTTAGAAGTGCAAGTAACGTCCTTGGCTAAGCAAATGAAAACAACAGCAAAGCCAAGTAAAGATTTAAAGGCTCAGTTTGATAAGGCTAAGGAATCGGCAATAAAGGCCAAAACAGCGTACTTACAGAAGAGAGACACTTTACATGCGCTCAGTGAAGAATTTAAGAAAAGTGGAAAAAACATTCAATCTTTGATAAGAGATCAAGATAAACTAGGTGCTTCTGCAAACAGGCTGAGAAGTCAATATAGTAAATTAAACTCCGCCATCAAAAAACGGGACATGTTTTTGGGAAGAAAAGCGCACTTTAAATCGCAAATGTTGGAGACGGCTGGACTTGCATTAACGCTTGCAGCGCCAATTAAAGTTGCGATTGATTATGAAAATGTTATGGCTGATATCAGGGCAGTGATGAAATTTTCTAAAGAGAAGGAAGCCAATGATAGAGGATTTATGGAACTTGGCCAAGGAATAAAGGAGTTATCCCGTACAATACCACTATCGGCTGCAGAGTTAGCACAAATAACTACAAGTGGTGCTCGACTTGGTATTGAAGAAAAAAAAGATCTTCTAGAATTTACAGAAATAGTATCCAAAATGGCAGTAAATTTTGGTATGAGTGTAGAAGAAATAGGAAGTGCTGCTAGTAAACTTTATAGCATTTATGGAATGAGCTTAGAAGATCTAAAGGATCTGGGAAACCTGGCAAACCATATTGCAAGTAATACTACTGTTGAAGCAAAAGATCTGATGGCAGGAATGAATATAGCTAGTGGGGCGGCAAAACAGTTTGGTTTGAAGATTGAACAGACGGCTGGCTTAGTAAGTGCTTTCATTAGCTTAGGAAAGCAACCAAAAAAAGCAGCGGAAATGATAAATGCTGTGCTGGTTAAACTTCAAACAGCAAGGGAGCAAGGGGATGAATTTATAGGAACACTAGATGAAATCGGAATAGATATAGAAGAGCTTGAAGAGAACATCAAGAAAGACCCTCAAAAAGCACTACTAAGCTTTTTTGAAACTTTGGAAAAAATAGATAAAGATGAACGTCCTAATATTCTGTTAAAACTTTTTGGTCTTGGATCTCAAGATGAGGTAGCACTGATGCTTGGAAGCTTAGGTGAATGGAGAAATAAGATGAAGTTGTTAGCTAATGAAGAAGAACGTCAAAACTCATTGCAAGAGGAATGTAATGATCGTGTGAGTACAACAGCTAACCAATTGCGATTGCTGAAAAATTCAGTAGCAGAAGTAAGTATGAATCTGGGTTCAGTGATGTTACCTATTTTAAAACCTATAGCTGAAAAGTTGAAATGGGCAAGTGAAAATGTAGCTTCATTTGCAGAAAAATATCCTACTGTAACTAAAGTAATCATGGGTACCATAGCAGCACTAATAGGTCTTAAAGTTCTAGCAGTAGCTGGTGGTTATGCATTTTATTTGGCTAGAAGTAGCATATCAACTTTCTCGATTATTTTGCATGGGGTACTGAAGCCTGCACTAATATCACTAGCGACATATGCTATTCCAGCAGTAATTACTGGACTGAGTGTTTTAAAAGCTACAACTTTGAGCTTAGCAACAAAAGCTTTTCCTTTACTATCATCAGTTCTACCTGCAGTAGTAACAGGACTTAGGGCAATAACATTAGCTGTAATTAGCAACCCTATAGGACTTTTAGTTGCTGGACTAGTCACTGGTGCAACACTTATTATAACTAACTGGCAAAAGGTAAAGAACTTTTTCTCTAGCATCTGGAAATCAATAATAAAACCCATCGGAGAAATGTTTTCATGGCTGGGAAATACTGTTGGTAGCATATTTGGAAAGGTTGCCGAAAATAGCCCATTGAAAGAATTTGAAAAAAGAAAAAGTATTGTTGCTGAAATAAAAACAGTCCATACTCCGCTTAAGAGTGGCATTTTGAGCAATGGAAATCCTTTGTTGAATAATAGTATAATTAAAGAAATCTCCAAGAGAAACAAAAGCTTTATTGAGGAAAAGAAGTCTATAGAAGGTAATCAAGTTAATGAAATATTTGAAAAAAACAGATTTGAAAAAAAGGAGTCGAAAATACACAACCAGACATTTAATCAAACATTTAATATAATTGTTAAAGCAGAGCCCAACCAAGACGCTCGTGGCATTGCTGATGCAGTAATAGAAAGATTCAGGGAACAAGCAAGAGGGGCTCTTTTTGATGTTGTGGAGGAAATAAATTAAGTGTTACTTGGGCAGTTTAAATTTGATCCAGTGGGCCTCAGGTACAGTAAAGAGCAGAGGTGGCATACAGTTGAATGTATTGAGAAAACATCACTGCAGAATATCGGCTCAGGTATTGAGAATATTGATTTAACAGGAGTGATTTATCCGCATCGTCAAAATGGCAGTTTAGAACAACTAAGGAATATGCGTGAGCCAAATGTTTTAGTCGATGGTTCAGGAAAGGTGTTAGGAAATTTTGTCGTTACTAACGTAGAAGAAAAACAAACATCATACTTTCCTTGTGGATTACCAAGAAAGGTAGAGTTTCAATTAAAGTTAAAAAGCTACAACAAGTGATTTACTATTTTACCAAGGATAAAGAAATGCTGGATTATATTTGTTGGAGGCATTATGGTTACAGTAGTGGAGCAGTGGAAGAGGTCTTGGAAAAAAATCCTGGACTTGCAGAGTATGGGAGCTTTCTACCAGCAGGACTGAAAATTAAGTTGCCTGAGATTCAAAAGATATCACAAAAGTCTGTCGTAAAAATTTTAGATTAATGAGGCCTGATTTTGATATAATAGCTGAGGATAACTCCATTGTAGAGAGGAGCAGCTTAATATCTCTGCGTATCATTGACGAATCTGGTACAATGAGTGATGAAGTTGAAATATGTCTTGAGCATGGAAATAATGAACTCCGGGGTAAGTTGGAAGTTTTTCTAGGATATAAAGAGACCGGGCTATTATCTATGGGTGTTTATATCGCAAGTGAAATCACAATACAAAGTCCACCACAAATCTTAAGAGTCAAGTGCTGTGCAGCAAATTTCAAAGGATCGCTGAAAGAAAAAACATCAAAAGAATGGAAAGAAATTACTTTAGGTGACTTAGTAAGAAAGATAGCAGAAAAGCACGGATATGAGGTGAAAATAGCACAAAAATTTGAAGATATATTTATATCGCATATTACCCAAACCGACGAAAGTGATATGAATTTTTTGAAAAGGATAGGAGATGAGCATGAAGCAACGGTGAAACCTATAGGAGGCCATATAATTTTTATTCCCAAAGGAGGAGGAAAATCAGCAACAGGAAAGGTTTTAGGCACAACATTACTGACACCCAAAGATGTGATAAATTGGAAAGTAAATTTTAATGTACGTAGTAAATATGGATCAGTTATAGCAAAATGGCACAGCTATGAAAGTGGAGAAACCATAGAAGAAAAAGTAGGCAATGAAGAACCAAGTTATCCGATATATAAGCTTTATCCTACTGCAGAATTAGCGATCAATGCAGCAAGTGCTAAGCTCAGACGATTAAAGCAAAATGAAGCAAAATTAAACATGACAATACCTGGCAATCCAGAGTTATTTGCAGAAGCTAAAATTAACTTATTAGGTTTTTGTCAAGAAATAGATGGAGAATGGGTAATAGAAAGGGCAGAGCATATTCTAGATAATAGGGGATATCAAACTATGATAGAAGCGGTAATAAGCAGAATTAATTAAGAAAAATTCAACAAACAATTGCTATATGCGGTGTAAAGTATTGCAACAAAATATGCCAAGAAGAAATCACCGTTACCGTTATCAGCAGGACTACTATCATCAGGATTACTATTATCAACCATGTTGGATAGATTGGATAATTGTATCACTGATGCTTGGTGTTATTGCTATATTTATCATAGGTTACTTTATCTTTAACAGTGATAGAAAGGCTGAATTAGCAAATGCTGAAGCCACTAAGAACTATGAAAAAATAATATCAATTGCTGTTAAAAGTTGTGATTTCGAGGTTGTAAAATTTTTGATGGAAAGAAACTTAGTAAATATTCATCGAGGTTCCGGAAAAAGGTTATTGGGGTATGCTACAGAAAAAGAGTGCTTGGAAGTTGTGCAATTTTTAGTAGGAGAGAAAGTTAATATTAATTCTACAAGTGTCATTGAAATAGATAAAAGAACAGTTTTGCACTATGCTGCAGAACAAGGTAATTTAGAAATTGTCAAATTCTTGTTACAAAATGGTGCAAATCCAAATGCCAAAGAATTTAGGGAAAAAAAGCCAAGGGATTTAGCTGTTATAATGTTACGGCACAATAAAAATAATAAGCCTTACAGAGAAATCATAGACCTATTAACCGAAGCAGAAAAAAACTATAAGTTAGAAAAATAACAGCTAGCTTTATTTACAAAGTTTCACCTAAAGATTTCATAATAAATTCACATTTTATGCAAAATCAAAAGATTCCAATAGCAGTAATAGTAACGATGTTAATACAGACGGTAGCGGCGATATGGTGGTTGGCCAAGCTGGATTTACGAGTACACATGCATGATAAATTTATAGAGCAGAACAACGGATTGACCGTTACGGTATATCGTCTGGAAGAGCGGGTAAAAAATCTCTCTGAGGAACTTGATGAGTTTAAATTACAAGTCTTAAGCGGGAAAATTAAATCTTAACATCTTTATCTAAATTTTCATTTCACAATGACTAGATATATCTTGTCCGTTGACGGAGGAGGCATAAGAGGAATAATTCCTGCCATAATACTAGCAGAAATAGAAAAAGATCAAGAAAAAAGGTAGCAGAAATCTTTGATCTAATGGCAGGTACTTCAACCGGTGGGATTGTTGTGGCTGGGTTATGCAAGAAAGATGAACGGGGAAATCCCCAATATTCAGCCAATGATTTAGTTGAGCTTTACCAAGAATATGGATCATATATTTTCAAGTCTTCGTTTTTTAGACAATCAATACTATCGTGGTTTAACTGTGCACAATACCCACACAAAAACATCGAATCGATATTGGAAAAATATTTTGGTGAAGATATTCTCAAAAACACTTTAAGTAAGGTGTTGATTACAAGTTACGATTCAGAGTTCTTCCCTTCTCCACCTAATGCTTAAGCTTAAAACACTAGATGCTTTTTACAAGATATAAGATACCGTTTTTATTGTCAACAAATTATTTAGCTAAAAAGAATAAAAAATAACAAAAAGTTTTAATTTAGGCTGATACCTTCTATAAATTAGTGTAACTGTGTATAAGTACTTTCAGTTTGTGTGGCGTACTTATACACAGTTACACTAATTTTTTACTGTGCCTTCTTATTTTATGAGAATTGTTTTACAAAGTTACTAAGCAACTCTGTTAAAGTCAATGTGAGAGGCAGTGCATCAGTTATACGTTCAGCGAATCTATCTCTTATAAAACAAGCAGCAATTTTGAGTAACCAGGTAATAAAGATACTCAAAAACATCTAAAGTTTAGTACAAATGACAAAATATATTCTCTCAATTGATGGTGGTGGAATAAGAGGAATTATTCCAGCAATGATATTATCCAGAATAGAGCAAAAAACGGGTAAACCTATTTCTCAAATTTTTGATTTATTGGTGGGTACTTCAACTGATGCTACTATTGTAGCAGGACTATGTAAAAAAGATAGCAAAGGAAAGCTACAATATTCAGCTGATGACTTGGTTAATCTTTATCAGGAGTACGGACCTTATATTTTTAAGTCTTCATTTCTAAGAAGATCAATATTTTCTTGGATTAACGGTGCACAATACCCCAGTAAAAATATTGAGTATGTACTTCATAAATATTTTGGCGATGATATCCTTAAAAACACTTTAAGTAATGTGTTGATTACGAGTTACGATATTCACAATAACTGCCCATTTTTCTTCAAAAGCTGGAAAGAGGATAGAAATTTTATTAAATTAAGGGATGTATTGAGAGCAGCAACTGCAGCACCTACTTACTTTGCACCTAAATATTTAAAAGTCAACCAAAAGGAAATGGTATTAATAGATGGAGGAGTTTTTGCCAATAATCCAGCAGCATGTAGCTATGCAAGCAGCAGAAAGCTATTTCCTAACGATGATGTAGTACTTCTTTCCATCGGTACTGGCAGATCGTCTCATTCCATTAAATACCTCAGATCGAAAAGATTTGGCAAAATATCCTGGATTAAGCCATTGATAAACGTAATGTTTGCCTCTGGACTAGATTGTGTAAATTATCAGTTAGACCAGATTATTAACAATAGCTATATCAGAATTCAATCGCAGCTAAAAGTAGCATCAACGGAGATGGACAATACAACATACGAAAATATCAAGTGTTTAAAAAAAGAAGCACAAACGATGATTGAATGTAATCAAAAAGCAATAGATAAATTCTGTACAGTAGTATCATAAACTTTAACCTTTTAATCTAGAACTCGCATTTTTGAACGTTTCCTTTTAAGCTTCAGTAAACCTCCTAACTCTATAGTTCTTGATATGATCTGGATTAAAAGCCTTCCTTGAACTTAAAACACCAAAAACTATATGGAGTAATTTACGCATTGCAGCTCCCACAACGGCCATATTATGCTTGCCTTTTTCCTTTAATCTTTCGCAGTAAGTCTTAATAATAGAGTTGTGATTTTTAGCTACTATAGCAGGAAAATAAAGAGCCTTACGCAATGTCCGTGAACCTGATTTACTTAGCTTAGGCTTGGCATATACAGATGAACCTGATGTAATATTTTTTGGTATAGTTCCTGCATATGCTGCTAATTGTCTAGCATTTATAAAGGCTTTTATATCAGGAATTTCAGCTAAAATAGCTATTGCTGATTCCTCTCCTATTCCTGGAACAGTCAATAGGAGTTGAAAATCTTCCAACAATTCTTTGTGTTGTTTTAATAGTTCACACGTGGAGTTTTTTATTGTTTCTATTGATTGTTCTATGGTCATTGCTAGACTTTCCCAAACATTTACAACTTCTTCAGGCAGTCTCTCTTTCTTTTCCAAATGATTATTTACTAATGTTAATTCATCTTTTAACGCATCTGAACAACGATAAAGATGTTTTAATTTTCTCTTTTCAGGAGGAGGTGGTGCCCAATGAGAAGGTTCCTGTCTTTGACAATAATCTGCAATAATCTCTGCATCAGACTGGTCATTCTTTTGCCGTGCGAGCTTACTTTTTGCATAAAAATTTATGCGAGCTGGGTTTACAACACTAACAAAATATCCAGCCTTGTAAAGGAATTCAGCTAAAGCTTCACTATAACAACCGGTGGATTCCATGCAAGCTTTTACTTCTTCTACGTTATGTTTTTGTAGAAAGTCCAGCAGACCTTGAAATCCAGTATCATCATTTTTAAATTTCCTTTTCCTAGCTTCACGTTTTCCTTTTTTACTTATAAACGAAAGAAAAACATCAAAGCGTTCTTTTGAAACATCTATACCAAGAAAGTTGTTGATCATATATAACTCCATACGTTACTATTTAAAATGAAAAGTAAGGCTTACCTTATGAATACAGAATTAGAACCATTGAGGTTTTTCTATGATACCGTCCAGCCTAAACTTTTGAGAAGGGGGCTCTTATCTTGTAAACAGATTTTATATCTAAGTTACAATTCAGAGTTCTTCCCTTCTCCACCTAATGCTTAAGCTTAAAACACTAGATGCTTTTTACAAGATATAAGTTATGATATTCATAACAATTATCCGTTTTTCTTCAAAAGTTGGAAAGAGGATAGGAATTTCATTAGATTGAAGGATGCACTAAGAGCAACAACAGCAGCACCAACATACTTTGCACCTAAGTATTTAGAAGTTAAGCAAGAGAAAAGAGTATTAGTTGATGGAGGGGTATTTGCCAATAATCCAGCGGCTTGTGCATATGCAAACAGTAAGAAACTTTTTCCCAACGAAGAAATCGTTCTGGTATCAATTGGCACAGGTCGGCTATCTAATCGAATAAAGTATAGAAAATTAGGAAAGATAGCATGGATAAAGCCCCTATTAAATGTGATGTTTGCGTCGAGTCTTGATGTAGTGAATTACCAGCTAGGTAACGTAATGGACGACAGATATATAAGGATACAATCACAACTGACAATAGCGTCGGCTGAGATGGATAATGTAACACCTAAAAATATTAAATGTCTGCAGCAGGAGGCAAATGCGATAATAGAGGACAACCAGGAAGTAATAGATAAATTTTTGAAATGCCAAGCAAACTAAAGAAATTATACCACAAAGCAAAGAAAGGTTTAAAAAACATAGTTTCGCCCAAAAGGCATACTAAGGGGCAAGAAGCTAAAATTTCAAACGATAAGCCAAAACCGCTCTCTGAAATTGTGATGAAACCTAGCCTATGCTCCTCTAAAGCAGAAAATGTCAAAAAAGGAATAAAAGAAAAAATAAAAAGCTTAAAAACAAAGAAAGCAAAACCCGTAGAAAAAGAGCTGAAAAAGGGCAACGTGTTCAAAAAAGGCTTCAAAAAGCTAAAAGCAAAAGTAAAAAAATTAAATCCAATAAAGGTTAAGAAAAATAAGATCATTGGAAGCAAAAAGTTAGCGCTTTTACTGACATCTGCTACAATCGTGGCAATTTTACCAACATTCAGTTTAGCTCCTCTTCCAGCCTTAGCCATAACTTCTGCATGTGTTTTCAGTATTAATTTTATTGCAGTCAAGACATTAAAGAAGTTTATTAAACAACGCAAATTAGCAGCAGAATCTAAAGAAGTAGCAATTCAAGAAGAAGCTATAGCTGAAGCAGGAAAGCCGGAAGAAGAAATTCAAGATGTATTGGTCGAATCAATAAAAGAAGAACCTAAACAAGTTTCCAAATAATAGACATCTATATTAAATACTTTTCTATCTTTATTTAAATATTATCTATTCAATATAAAAGTAGTGGCAATTTAAAGATTTTATTTGTAAAGTTCTAGCAAAGCGGGTGTGCGAGTTAATAATTTAAAAACGTTTATCGCTGCATACTCTAATACAAACACATTTTTTGTGGAGTTGCTATGACAGTAGAAAAAATTTTACAAAAGGCTGCAAAGGAAATTTATCACCTCAGACATCCTAGTATTCTTTCTTTATTAGTTCGTGCAGCCTTCAAAGAGATTATCAATAGTAGATTTGGTACTAAAATTTTACATTTCTCTGCAAAACGCGATCTTTACAACTTATTTCTATTCCTTGTGGAATATGATGCTAACGTTGATGCCGTAAATAAAAAGGGCAATACAGTATTACACGTTGCCTCTCAATATGAATCCACAACAATAGCAGAGGTTGCTGTAGTTATGAGCAAAAATGTTAATGCTCAGAATATCGATGGCGACACTCCTTTGCATCATTCAATAAAGTATAAGCACCTTGATGTTATGCAAAAGTTGTTACAATGCGGTGCAGATATCAATCGCCAGAATCGTCTTGGTGAATCTCCTCTTCACATGGCTGTAAAATATGCTGACACAGTAACGTTGGGATTGCTGATCAAAGGGGACGCTTTTCTTGAAATTAAAAATATAGAAGGAAGTACCCCTCTTCACCTTGCAGTTTCATTGAATAAAAAAGATCATGTGGAGCTTTTATTGCAAAATAGAGCAGATATTAACGCAATCGGAAGAGATAGTTGTACTCCTCTGCACCTTGCTGTTATGAAAGGCAATAAAGAAATCGTCGAGTTATTATTAGATAGGAAGGCAAACGCTCATCTGAAATGTTTTTATAACTCTGAAGAAGGTTATACAGCACTGGAAAACGCTGTAGCAAATCGAAACAAAAAAATTGTAGCATTGTTTCTGCTTCATGGGATCATTTTAGAGTAGAGAAGATGTCCTACGAGCAAATCGTTATATACGGTATAATATTAATTATTGCTATTAAAATATTTCTTTTTTTTAGGGGAATATACAAAAACCTCGTCAGAAAGGCTCCATTGAGAGAGAGTGAAAAGAAAACAGATCAAGAACTTCACTTTCAGGTTTACAAAGAAAATCTAAAAGTAGTCGATATTGCAAAGCCAGTGGGCAAATGGACACAAATGGTTATACTGAATGATGGGTTGATGCAGCGTTTGGCTCAATTGATACAAAAAGAAGGCGATGAGAAGGGATACTGGCAGTTATTTGTGAAAGCTCAAGCTTCAACTCAAGGCAAATATAAGGGAAGGGGAAGATAGCTCCGTTTGGTAGATGCGGTTATCATGCCTGTGTGCGCTGCTAAAGTTAGTATGCCTTTTTTATTCTTTATAAAAAGTTTTACAACAGCCAACATTTGTGCAGAGTGCTACATTCGTCGATCACTCTCTATTAGTAACTTTATTTTATCTAAATCTTTGCTTGAAACAGCTTTATACAATTCAGATAACGTATCGCTCTATGAAGATGCCCTTTATAGCTCTCACTATTTTCTTTAGCCTACACATTTCTCAAATTTTAAGCATAACGTAAAATTTTTATTAAATAAGGTTTTTCTAAATAGAACGTTATTTCTTCTCTTCGCTAATCTTTACCACCTCGGACAAAAACCCACACAATAAGTCCTTTAATCTTTGATCTTCAATTTTTTTACATTCTCTCATTAGATTTAATACCTTCATTTCCCCTTTACTATCTTCATCTTCATAATAAGTCTCTTCTTTTGATTTTGGCAGTAGCACTCCATAGTTTACTGATAATGCTTTTGCCATTTCAGGTACCCTTTCAAACGACATATAATCTATACCTCGTTCATACCTGTTTATTTGTTGAATTGATAGCTCGGCTTTGTTTGCTAACTCCAACTGAGTATATGCTCTTACTAACCGCCAATCTTTTGCCTTTTGTCCCATTTTATATTTTATAGACGTTGTATCAGCTGCATTCTGGCCCATTTCGATCCCCTCTGACAAAAGTTTTACTAATACACAAAATGCACTGCGAAATTCTTGGTTCCTAATTTTTTTGAAGTTTTGCACTATGCTTAACATCTTCTCATCTTCGCTACTTACATAATCTGTTGACTTAGGAAGTAGATCCTCAAATTCAACCGATAATGCTTTTGCCATCTCTTCTGCCTTTTCAGGTGAAATGTTGTACACACCTTGTTCATATTTTTCCATTTGTGACTTTGATATACCAACTTTCTTTGCTAGCTCTGCCTGAGAGTATCCTCTTAATACCCTCAATTTTTTTATCTCTTGAATTATTTGGTAACCTAGAGAGCCAGCAGCAACTTTCTTTTCGGTAGTGGTCATTCTTCACACAATTGCAGGACAAATATATAATACAGTATTATTGAGTTTTATTAAAGCTTTACTACTAACCAATTCGCATTCTTGGGTAGCTGATGTTAGAGATCTCTACTAATTAAATATTTTTCTATTTCTGTTTAAATATTATATATTAAATACAAAAGTAGCGGTAAATTAAAAGTTTTGCTTGTAAAGCTCTAGCAAAGCGAATGCACGAGTTAATAATTGATTTACCATTGACGCTGTATACTGAAACAGTGGTTGAGGTAAATCTTATGACTGAAAATACATTACAAGAAGAAATAAAGCGTCACAACGTGCTGTACTATCAAAAAAATAAGCCAGAAATCACCGATGCAGAATATGATGAGCTGGCGAAAAAAGCAGGTATTCAAACTGTTGGTTCTGCGCCTGACGATAGGTTTTCCAAGGTACAGCATATTGTGCCCATGCTCTCGTTAAACAAAGTTTACAGCCAAGAAGACATTGAAGAATTTATAGCTAAGTCCAGAGAACTCCTAAATACAGATGAGCTGAAGATAATGTGCGAGCTGAAAATTGATGGCTTAAGTTTCACTGCAATTTATGAGGATGGTATGTTCATTAAAGGTTTAACTCGAGGTGATGGCCATTACGGTGAAGATGTAACAAAAAATGTTGCGACTATAGCAGGATTGCCTAAAGTTTTACCTGATGTAAAGGGCAGATTGGAAGTTAGGGGCGAAGTCTATATAAGAAATGATGACTTTTTAAAATTAAATAAAGACAACGAATTTTCAAATCCACGCAACACAGCGTCAGGTTCATTAAGGCAATTGGACCTAGAAGTTACCGCTAGTAGACCACTTAGGTATTTCGCATATTCTTTAATTGGTGGAACAGAAAATACCCAGTCTGAAGTATTAAATAAACTGAAAAAGCTTGGATTCTGTGTAAATGAGCATCAATGCTTAGCAAAGAATGTGGACGAAATGCTGAAGTTTTATAACAGAATCTATGATAATCGCCATGAATTAGGTTATGATGTCGATGGGGTAGTCTATAAAATCAATAATTTACAGCTACAAGATCGTCTAGGTAACACAAATAAAGCTCCTAGATGGGCCATAGCTCACAAATTTCCTGCAGCTCATGGAAAAACTAAAATAGAGAAGATATCGGTACAGGTAGGCAGAACGGGCCAATTAACACCAGTTGCTCAATTAGCTCCGATAAATATAGGCGGGGTTATTGTTACAAGGGCAAATTTGCATAACAAGGATGAAATTGAACGTAAGGACATAAGAGAAGGAGACGTCGTAGTAGTAGCTCGAGCAGGCGATGTAATTCCTAAAATTATCGATGTTGATAAAAGTGTCCGTTCTCGAAACGCACCAAAATTTGTATTTCCGAATACTTGTCCCGAGTGCAATAGTGATCTTGATGACTGGGAAAGATGTACTGGAGAAAACTTTTGCCCAGCACAGCGAATAGGAAAGTTAAAATATTTTGTGGAAGTTCTTGACATTAAAGGTTTTGGCGGTAAACAAGTGGAGTTCTTTTATGACCTTGGTTTGATAAGGAAAATATCTGACATTTTTGCTCTCGAAGAAAAACTAAAAAATTTCAACTTAAGCAAGCTAAAGGGATGGAATAAACAATCAATATCTAATCTATTGAATTCTCTCAATAGCAGAAAAACTATAACTCTTGAAAAATTCATATCTTCTTTGGCAATCAGGTTTGTCGGACCGAGTGTAGCAAAAATAATAGCCAAACACTATATATTCTATGAGAGTTGGTATGAGGCTATATCCTATGACAGCAAAGCTCCTGATAAATTAATGAGCATAAACGGTGTGGGCGAAAATACTACATATTCCTTGGAGGAATTTTTCTCTGATGAGGATAATATTGAAATGGTAAATGACCTTGCTGCTCAGTTAAATATTCTGCCTGTGGTTGCTAATACTAGTAATTCCATTTTTAATGGCAAAACAGTAGTTTTTACTGGAAAACTTTCAAAAACAGAAAGAAATGAAGCGCAAGTAAAAGTAGAATCTTTAGGTGCCATAATAAGCTCAAGTGTGTCAAGTAAAACAGACTTTTTGGTTGTCGGCGAAAAACCTGGGTCAAAGTATCACAAAGCTTTAGAACTAGATGTTAAAATTTTAACTAAGGAGGAATTTTACAAATTAATTCTGAAAGAAAAAACGTAATCTCAACTCTATTCATCTGAGTTGTACAATTTCTTCAGGTGATAAACCAGATGTTCGCAATATAATATCAATAGCAATACCTGCCTTAACTAGATCTTTTGCAACCCTGATTTTCTCTGCTTTTTTAACCTTTTCTTTACCAGTCTGCATTCCTTCAGATAAAGATTTAACTACTGCATCCAGTAATTCTTGATCCTCAATTTTTTTGCATTTACCTATGAATTTCAATACTGACTCATTTTCATATTCTGTTAGTCCAAGAAATAGAGCTTTAATATTAACTGATAATACCTTTGCTATCTTATCTAATATTTCAATTGGAATATCTGTATATCCTTGTTCATAGTCGTGTATTTCTTTAGGCGTTAAACCGATTTTACTTGTCAAGTCCTCCTGAGTGTATCCCCGTATTAATCTCTGCTCTTTTATCCTTTTCCCTACTTTGTAGAGTATAGAACTAGTACAAACTTCTTTTTCTGTATCATTATATTCGTAAATGGATAAGCGAGTCGCTTGGGAAATAATATCAACTGAAACTCCTTCTGTAACTAGATTCTTTGCTACTTCTATTCTAGCTTCTTCTTGACTAATTTTTTCGCTAACATATACAAATCTTACTAGTGGATAAAGCTTCTTGCGTAATTCTTGATCCTGAATTTCTCCATATATTCTCGTCAGATAGAGTATTTCTTCATCCTCATCTTCATACCAACTGTTTTCTTTTAGTACTGTCGGTCCTGGAAGTAGATCTATAACACTAACTGATAATGCTCCTGCTATTGTACATGATTCTTTGACTGTAATAGGTTTGCACCCTAGTTCAAAGCTATGTATTTCCTGATATGTTAAACCAATTTTGCTTGCTAATTTTGCCTGAGTATATCCTTGTATTACCCTACAACTTTCTATTTTTTTCCCCATCTCGTAGTTTATTGAGCCAATATGCTCTAGGTTATCGTAGATAAAGTCGCTTTTTCTTATAGAAGGAAACATATATTATTTATAGAAACAAACATACAACTTATCATAAGATTTTATCAAAATCCAGCCCCTATAAGATATTTTATTGCAAAAACTACACAACTTTATTAATAGATAAACCTGTTGTTTGCGAGATAATATCAACAGAAATTCCTTCTTTAACTAGACTCTTTGCAACTTCAATCTTCTTTGCTTCTCTAACCTTTTCATTACAAACACGTATGCCTTCAAACAAAGATTTGATCAGTACATCTCGTAACTCCTGACTCTCAATCTTTTTGTATTCTTCTATCAAATTTGATAACCCAACTTCGCTATTCTCATCTTCTGTTGATTCGGGAAGTAGATCTATGATACTAATTGATAATACCTTCGCTATTTCATCTAACGTTTCAAGTGAAACAGCAGCGCGTCCTTGTTCATATTCGTATATTCCTTGATTTGTTATCCCCCCGATTTTATTCGCTAAATCTTCCTGAGTGTATCCTCGTCTCAACCTCCACTCTTTTATCCTTTGCCCTACTTTGTACGGAATAGGAATTTTTTTCTCCTCATACTCACCAATAGATAAGTTAGTTGTTCGAGAGATAACATCAGCAGAAACCCCTACTTTAACCAAGCCCCTTGCTACTTCTATTTTCACCGCTTTTCCACTTCTTTCCTCACTAATACGGATGAATTTGGTTAATAAATAAAATATCTCGCGTAATTCTTGATCCTTAATCTCTTTATGTATTTTTACTAGATTTAGTATCCCTTCTCCTTCATTCTCAAAACATCTTTTTTCGTCTGTTTGTTCAGAAACTAGAACTCTAGCACTTGTTGATAATGCTTCTGCTATGGCATATAATTTCTTAATTGAAATTTTACGCGTTCCTTTTTCATACTGTAGCATGACCTGATATTTTGTACCAATTTTACTTGCCAAATCCTCTTGAGTATATCCTAGCTTTAATCTACGATTTTTTATCTCTTGCCTAACTTTGTAGCTTAGGGTTGCTACTCTTTCTGCCATAATTACAAAACCTGCCAATTCGCATGCTAATGTCTTCTATTTGAACTGTTGCTCAATCTTGATCTCCCTTTCGCTTATTATTTGGTCGCTTTTGTCCCCAACCCCTCTCATCTCTCTTTCCTCTATAATAAACTTCATAACCTCATCTGAATATCTGCTCTTTCCACTTGCTAGTTCCGATTTGAACCTTCTTACTTTGTACTCTAATTCCATAAACCTTTCTTGTCTCATTAGCAATCTGATTTATCTGTAAGCCCTTCTCCTAGAGCTCCTACTATTTTATAACTCATCTATTTTATAATTTACTCCAGATTGAACTATAAATAAGTTGATCATTGCTAACAGGCTCTGCTACTAATATGTTAACATTGCTACACACAAAGCGTTTTAAACTTATATTTTTTTCTAGATAATTTTTCATATCCTGCCTCCTTTAATTCTTCATATGCTTCCGACAGCAATATCTCTAATTCCTTAAAAAACTCAATCTCTATATCACCTGACGTAAGGATCATTAACAAATGTTTTACTAACTCTATATCATTTGATCTGACTGCATGATAGATTGCTTTTTCTCTATTCTCTTTCAAATCATACAGTTCTACTAAGGCTAAATAGGTAGTTCTTGACTTCTTCAGGAGCATAGATTGCAATATTAACTTCTCTTAATGGATTAAACTTTTCTAGATCAGTAGTTTCTTCTATTGCAACAGCCACTTTACTCAACTTCTTTAGCTCCTTCCCTTGAATCTCTAGGTGACTTCATTTAGTACTTCGTTATACAGACTTTGTTTTTCCTCACTGCTTAATAATGCACAATGCTCCTTTAGCTGCTTGGGAGTTTTAGATAGAAATTTTACTAGCATATTGTTACCCTTATTGAAACTAGTATATTAAATGCCTATGATGTGACAAGCTAAAATGAGAAGTTCACACTTTAAATAGGTATGTTTAAGACCACTAAATTCATGAATTCATTTGCCGGGGTTTTTAGGCACTTTATGAGGGGGTTATAAAAGATGTACAAAAGGACGTCTAAGGTGCGTAGTAGCATTCTAAAGCCATCTATGGGAGACATTTAACGCATTCAAAACTTAAAAAATAAACTAAAAATAAAGAAGTTGAATATTTCTTCAGAATTGTGTATAATTGTTAATACTTTTAAGCATTTTGA